TAGGTACCCTCTCTATAACTCTAATTAGAAAATATGATGATGTATTGAGGGGTAGGTCAATACGCCCGTATCTAGTTTGAGGGCACCGTCAGTGGGTTCAGCGCTATGATTTTCGTATGGCTACCAGAATATATAGTCCTTACTTATCTTTACGACAATCACATATTGACCATTTGCGTAATATTTTTTAAATTTTAATTATTTGTTTATCAAAATATAGTATATTTTTTAACAAAAACCATATAAATCCTAGTTTCAACCTTTGTGCACCATTTGAAAAAAATCAACAATCTTTCGTAAAAATGTCCAACTTTTAAATTCGATTTTTTTTTAATATTTTGGATATGCAGTTTTGTAGGCCATTCAATTTTACTACAATAGAGTGCAAGTTTAAAGTAACTGGGACTTACCGTTACTTTTTCGCAATTTTTTGTGGATGATGTCAGTCATTTTCTTCCACACCAAGCGTTTTCGAAGATATTTTATATGGAGCAAATGAGCAAAGTCTTCAGCGGAAAAGAAATCCCTAAAATCAATGGTAGATCTGAGCTACTTTAAACTTGCACTTTGTTGAATGGGCTGCAAAACTGCATACTCAAAATATTTCTAAAAAATCGAACTGAGAAGCTTGAAATTTTTACGAAAGGTTGCCTATACTAAACTATATTTTTATAAACAAATGGGACCAAGATTCGATCCCTGGTCCAACTTACATCCGAAAAAAATACAGGAAAAGGTTTTTAAAGGGCACTCGCCACTCGGCAGTCAATGTCAAACGTTTAAACTTTATTGTCAAAAGATGACCAAGAAATCATTTAGATGCTCATTTTTCAAATTACAAACTTGCATCTAAATCTTCAACTTTTTAATCAGATTTTCCAGAATTTTTTTTTAAGCATGCAGTTTTTTAGCACAAAAAAAATTCACAAACAAGATAGCCAACAAAGTTTAATTTTTATTTTTTCTAAAATTTATTTTTCAATTCAGTTTTTTAGGGGCTGAGTGTAATGATCATTTGATGGCATTATATTTCCCCTGTAGACCATTATGTCAGCATTCGAGCACGTATTTTTTTAAATATTTTTATCATATTCCTATCGAGAGAATTACGATTTTGTCCATCGACATTCTCAAATCGTACACTGTGTGCCATTCTGACTGATTTGTCAATGTTAGGTTTCCATTTTTGACCGATATTACTTGGCAGCTGATCTTCCTAAAGCAACACTTCACGTGAATAAAAATTAACGCATTCCAAAAACTAATATTTTGTTTCTTAAAATTTGGAAAATTGTTTCAGCCTTCAGAAATATTGTTTCTCTGCTGGGAACGTTGTTCCTCCTGTCGTCCAGTTTTTCACTAGCCACACACACGATTACCATTTTTTTGCTATCGAGTTTATTTTCTTAGTTTTTTTTATACATAGTTTGCTTCGCGAAAAGCAATGAATAAATTAGTGAGTGCGAGGAAAATTGGAATAAGTAGCAGTACTTCGTTACTCAGTTTGTTCATTCTTGTGGCAAGCGGAGGACTTTAGCGTAAATCCTCTTCCATAAGCGACGTTCAGCGAGTGGCATTTTTGCGTTTGTGTCTTCAACGACTACCACAATATTGTCTTTATTTATTTTATTTGATTTAGTTACTCTACTTTCTCTTAACTAACTACTACGAGTACAACTTATCTTCATGTACATTTTTTGAGTTTTGTTATTTTATTTCAGTGGCTCTTAATTCAATTTAGTGCTTATCTACTGCCAACTGAATTTTATTATTTTAATCTGCTTTATTGAATTTTTATACGCGTGCGCGCAAGAAATATTTAATATTTCTTCTATTTATAGGGTAGGGCAATTTAAGTGCGACCAAATAAAATGACATACTTCTTTATTTGGTAACACTTAAATTGCCCTACCTTGTACATTGGAATTGGCGTTTGTCATTTAGTAAATCTATTTTTTTTTCTTTGCTTCATTCGTTTTTTATTAAAACTTAATATGCAACTATACTTTATTTAGAAATAAATTATTTAGAAATAAATTTTATGCAGACGAGTGGTTAGAGGAGGAAGTATTACCACAAGGTAGGACCTAGGTTCAATGCCTCGATCTAGTAGATGCTGCTTGAAAAAAGTTGTTTCTAACAATGATACCACTCGGCTGATAACGGCAAACCTCCGAGTGTGAAGGATTCCCAATTGTGGCAAACTGACCTCGACAATACGTTCGTTTGTTACTCAAAGGCTTAGCTGCTCTCTTAGGTTTATTTCTTCGTTATTTTGATTGCGGAAATGATTTCCTTTATGCTAATGGTTTTTAGCCAATATTTAATTAATTAGATTTGAACACGAAAGTTTTATGCGCACTCGGGAGCTTATCGAACTTTATCTAAGAGTTTGTGTGATTGAATGAACTCGCAAAAAAAAAAAGAATCTCGTATTTAAGGTGTGGTCTTATGTGGAAATTTATATCATTTTCGTCCAACTGAATGCATAAAATAGCGGCTCAACCAAAATACCCACTTCGTGAAATATTCAATAAAAGCATACCTTAATATTTAAGTATTAGGGTGTCCCAGAATTTTATTTTTTGCGAAACTCAATTCGCATTCCCTATAAAATTTTTCATTTTGACCTAAATAACATTTATGCATTCAAGTTTTATTGCTGTAGGATGACAACAACCCCTGCCGACTTGAAGCTGAAGTGTTGATTACGAAGTTATACCAAAGCTACCATACATAAGACTTATAGTTTTTTTGCATTCTTATCTGAATTAATGCCCAAATGTCCATATTTTAAACTCCTATAGTTTGAGGCTATTTTAAAGAACGCTGGCATTCGGATTGATATAATTTCCACGCGAGTTTTGTGCTGAGAAAATTATTATCTCACGGCGTAATATGTACATTGCACACGCCTTTGATGAGGATGATCGACTGCATTCCGACAACCTTTGAAACTATAACTCCGTAGTATAAGCCACTTCCTCAAGGGTAAGCGTATATCTCCTGTGAATTTGTTAATAAAGTACAGAGCCTCAACAAAAAAGTTTTTGGCAGCATACCTTGGCGAATGGCGGGTATTTTTTTTCTATTTTCAAATTTTACTGCATCTTATTAATAAAACATATCGCACGTGTAATAATATAGGGATACAATTTAAAATTTAAGTTATTAGAGATTTAAACATACAATTAATAAGTTTGGTAAGGAGAATATGCACAGCCTTAAAGATGACTATATTTCTCAAAAATGGCGAAGTTAAGTGTCTTTTCATCTGCCTTTTGGTATACAAATTGTATGAACTGTTCAAACTTTGATTGCGTTTTCCCAAAAATTTAAATTTTGAAATATGTCTGTATATTATTAAACGGGCGATATGTCTGGCTTGTAAAGGGATCTCAATCGACATAAATCACCTCCTCACGGAAATTCCATTAAACCCACTCAGCCCCTTTTCCGCTTCGTTCGCTTTCGTTCAACAGCACTTTTCTTGGGCCTACCGGTAATTCAACTTGACGACAAAGACACCCCTTAGAGAAAAACGAAAAATGTTCTGAATAAAATTTTCATCTTTAAAGTCCATCAAACACTATAAACGTATATTTAATACGCTGCAGCTCCCGTGTATGTGTGAAAAACATGCTGATTTTTTATATGAAATGAAATGATGTCGCGCCGCATAACCAATTTTCTCACACCCAACTCAACAACTCACCTCTTATTTTCTGGAACACCCTTATATGTATATATGTATGCAATTAAGAAGCTCTCGCAGAAATGTAGTTTCTCCTTCGCATTAGTTTGTTTATTACTTAAGTCTAAACTAATATACATACAAATGTATGTAAATTTATATTCGCGTGTTTTCTCCTTCTATGTTTGCTCTAAAAAGAAAAATTGCAATTAATTAATATAATCTTGATATTGCCAGTTCTACAAATTTTTATTTTGTTCTTTTCCAGCCCGCCGCCATTGAAGATCTCCGTAAGTGGACCTCCAGCGAAGCGTTGGGTGACATGACGGTCACACCCGATTGTATGCATCATGTTGACACGTCCATTAGCACCTCGATGGTGATCGGCGATAATGGGGTATTGACGCCCGCCCTATCTCCGTCCGTGTTGTCGGCCGATGCGGTCGACGCACTCTACGCCATAAATGTCAGCCAAATTGGCGACAATACGCAACTGCCTAATGATATAAATAAAGATGTGCCTTTGAATCATCGACTGCCTTCACCCGAGGAACAATGTAAAATAATAGCTTTAAGGTAAGTCGAAGTGAAAAACAATGATTTTTCATGAATTACAAACTCTTAAGTTTGTGGCTGGATGTGAAAAAGTTTATTTCACTGTTTGCATAGATAAATGTACGCGAATAGGTACGAATGATTATACATATACAGAACAAGTAAGAAAGTCTAAGTTCGGGCGGAGCCGAACATTAAATACCCGGCGCAAGTATTAAATATATGTTGTTTCACCTTTCCGAAAGCTACCGCTAGATGGTAAACCGGAGTGTACCAATTTTGAGTAGCGTCCTTAAATTTCGAAATATTGCAGTTTCAAGCATTTCTGAAATTTACCGTTATATGAAAAGCGGCCGTAATTTTAGCCCGATTTCAATAATTTTTAACAATTGGATTTTATGTGGCAAGCACAATAACCGTACCGAGTTTGGTACAAATTGGTAGAACGGTTACCGATATACGTATATGTTACCATAAGTGGTAAAATATTTCTTGGTAAAGAATTGTTGCAAGCATCAATTTTGAATAAATTAGCTTTAATATTTACTGATTTATCGAAGATTNGACGGACAGACAGACATGGCTTAATCGATTTCTTTTTTCATCCTGATCATTTATGTATACATTTGTCTATATCTATCTCGATTCGTTTTGGCTGTTACAAACAACCGTTATGTGAACAAAATTAATATACCCTTGTGCACAAGTGCGCTCGGGTATAAAAATATATGCCAATGACTAAGAAATTATTGGAAGTGTTTGCTTGTTAGATTTGCCAACAACAGCTATTGAAGTATGTACTTACGTTTAAGACATTTTTAAAATGTTTGTAAGAATTCCTTTGGCGGCACATGCAAAAACAAATGGGTTTGGTTAGTAAGGCGTATATGAAGCGTTCATACTGCAACTCGGAGGCATATTAGTCCATTATGAATGCCTTCTATAAAAGCCAATAATATTATAGTGTCAATTAAAGCTTTTACGGTCCCTGATGGAATTGAGGAGGTGCAACAGTTTTACTCCCATTATCGCCACCAAGTTAGTAAATAAGCAAAATGGCAAGAGCCTTAGACGCCTCGACTGGGCATTGACATAAAATATGGTGAATCGATTGCTCCTTTTATTTAACCCGAAATACGTCAACGTTGGAACACTGACTCAGTGATGTTAGCGATGCGCGACATTTACGAACAATTCTTGACTTTACTACTTCTGACCTTAACGCATTCAAGGTCTTTTGGCTGCCAGCGAATATAGTGACAGCCTAATATCCATTTCCACCTAAAGCTTAACTGCAGTTTTGGCCTACGATATATGGCCGTATTCGGCGTGCTGCCATATCTTTGATCCCCTAAATCTAAGGCACTTTTGCGGCTGCACTAAATTTGAACACCTGTGGCGGCTTTAGTTTTACGATCATGTTCAATAATTCTAGTGGCGCACTGCCTATCCGATTGTTTTCTATTACTTAATGCCAAGAGAAATGAAATAAATCACATCATGTTTTTCTGACCGGCCGCCCATACAAACGATAACTTGAGTAAAAATAGAAATATTCCCACCAAAATTGGGGCATACATATGCTACGCTTGCTCCTAGGCAGGATGGTATTAAAAATGTAAAGCTGAACAATATTTTTGCATTTGTAGCATCTAACTAACCTCTGCCTAAATGAGAGAATCCTATTAGAAGCTATCTTAATTTTATCTAACGGTAGACGAAGGAAACGAGCAGTTTCAACGGAGTTGAATGATGAGAAAATTCGATGATTTGCCTTAGTTGGCCATGTGAAAATATGGGGTTTAATTCCGGATATTTATGTTTTTGTTTTTTTACCTAGGGCATAACCATATCGGAGCCACAGCCGAAGTATCACAGTTCCTAAGAGTCAACTCGAGCTAGTGGCTATCAGATGACGGTATTCAAGAAGGGGTGCTGGCGAAGGTTTTAGTTGACTCTCGATAAATGCCAAGTGAATGCGCTGTATCGCTAAATGAGATGGTCCCATATTATGCCGGAAATATTAATGCCTCGACGCCTGGATATCAGAGGGCAATTGCAAAACTAAAGAATTACAAGACAGGGCACGGCTAGCTATGCAAATGGCCACATTGAAATACAGTAGTAGAAGAAGATCTAACGATCTAAATCTCAATTATTCAAAGCATGCTGGAAACCCCTTTTATCTAGTTTAACTGTGAGGAAAGTCATAGTACAGTTCATGGATGGAAAAAAAAAATGTGCAGCATGTTTTATACCAAAAGCAGATTGCGTAAGCCCGGTAAACCATTTTTGCAAGACCTTGTCGAAATCTCGCCTGTGTGTAGCGGGCCTTTAGCAAAGCTTAGAGCGAAAACAAAGTGGGTTGTACCCGATTGACCTTTTAACATCGAAAGGAATTGGCATCTCCATATAGTACCACAACGAGCCTATTTTTCATCTATGTTTTTTTTTTTTTATGAAGCCGACTCCCCGGGACTGCTTTCGCATTTTATCAGAGAGAGGGAGTGTTCTGCCGAATGCGCTTCGAGGAAAGCCTATCTTCTCTCATCATTGTTTCTTTACTAAAGGATTTCACTACAGCCCAGGCCAAATACCAAATTTTCAGCGCTCGGATTAGCCAGATTCAAATTCTTTAATTCGTTGCTTTTAGCCGAAAAAGACGAGCATGTAAAGAATATATACTCGGCAGTTTTCGGTATACTACACATTAACCAAATGATATTGTATCAACATAGCCTTACAGAAATACTGTCTGAAACAACCATGCCCACTCAGAAGTTGGGTAATATAAAAATTTACTTCGCCCTGTGAATCTGATTAGCTAGGTTTTGATACCCGCAATGAGTCTAAAAGTCCAGCGACCAGCCGTGTCGTATCGTATCGTGTGAAGTATCACAGTTCCTAAGAGTCAACTCGAGCTAGTGGGTATCAGATGACGGTATTCAAGAAGGGGTGCTGGCGAAGGTTTTAGTTGACTCTCGATAAATGCCAAGTGAATGCGCTGTATCGCTAAATGAGATGGTCCCATATTATGCCGGAAATATTAATGCCTCGACGCCTGGATATCAGAGGGCAATTGCAAAACTAAAGAATTACAAGACAGGGCACGGCTAGCTATGCAAATGGCCACATTCAAATACAGTAGTAGAAGAAGATCTAACGATCTAAATCTCAATTATTCAAAGCATGCTGGAAACCCCTTTTATCTAGTTTAACTGTGAGGAAAGTCATAGTACAGTTCATGGATGGAAAAAAAAAATGTGCAGCATGTTTTATACCAAAAGCAGATTGCGTAAGCCCGGTAAACCATTTTTGCAAGACCTTGTCGAAATCTCGCCTGTGTGTAGCGGGCCTTTAGCAAAGCTTAGAGCGAAAACAAAGTGGGTTGTACCCGATTGACCTTTTAACATCGAAAGGAATTGGCATCTCCATATAGTACCACAACGAGCCTATTTTTCATCTATGTTTTTTTTTTTTTATGAAGCCGACTCCCCGGGACTGCTTTCGCATTTTATCAGAGAGAGGGAGTGTTCTGCCGAATGCGCTTCGAGGAAAGCCTATCTTCTCTCATCATTGTTTCTTTACTAAAGGATTTCACTACAGCCCAGGCCAAATACCAAATTTTCAGCGCTCGGATTAGCCAGATTCAAATTCTTTAATTCGTTGCTTTTAGCCGAAAAAGACGAGCATGTAAAGAATATATACTCGGCAGTTTTCGGTATACTACACATTAACCAAATGATATTGTATCAACATAGCCTTACAGAAATACTGTCTGAAACAACCATGCCCACTCAGAAGTTGGGTAATATAAAAATTTACTTCGCCCTGTGAATCTGATTAGCTAGGTTTTGATACCCGCAATGAGTCTAAAAGTCCAGCGACCAGCCGTGTCGTATCGTATCGTGTGAAGTATCACAGTTCCTAAGAGTCAACTCGAGCTAGTGGGTATCAGATGACGGTATTCAAGAAGGGGTGCTGGCGAAGGTTTTAGTTGACTCTCGATAAATGCCAAGTGAATGCGCTGTATCGCTAAATGAGATGGTCCCATATTATGCCGGAAATATTAATGCCTCGACGCCTGGATATCAGAGGACAATTGCAAAACTAAAGAATTACAAGACAGGGCACACAAATACAGTAGTAGAAGAAGATCTAACGATCTAAATCTCAATTATCCAAAGCATGCTGGAAACCCCTTTTATCTAGTTTAACTGTGAGGAAAGTCATAGTACAGTTCATGGATGGAAAAGAAAATGTGCTCCATGTTTTATACCAAAAGCAGATTGCGTAAGCCGGGTAAACCATTTTTGCAAGACCTTGTCGAAATCTCGCCTGTGTGTAACGGGCCTTTAGCAAAGCTTAGAGCGAAAACAAAGTGGGTTGTACCCGATTGACCTTTTAACATCGAAAGGAATTGGCATCTCCATATAATACCACAACGAGCCTATTTTTCATCTATGTTTTTTTTTGTTTGATGAAGCCGACACCCGGGACTGCTTTCGCATTTTATCAGAGAGAGGGAGTGTTCTGCCGAATACGCTTCGAGGAAAGCCTATCTTCTCTCATCATTGTTTCTTTACTAAAGGATTTCACTACAGCCCAGGCCAAATACCAAATTTTCAGCGCTCGGATTAGCCAGATTCAAATTCTTCAATTCGTTGCTTTTAACCGAAAAAGACGGGCATGTAAAGAATATATACTCGGCAGTTTCCGGTATACTACACATTAACCAAATGATATTGTATCAACATGGCCTTACAGAAATACTGTCTGAAACAACCATGTCCACTCAGAAGTTGGGTAATATAAAAATTTACTTCGCCCTGTAATCTGATTAGCTAGGTTTTGATACTCGCAATGAGTCTAAAAGTCCAGCGACCAGCCGTTATTGCCATTAGGTGGAATCTGCCTTTGAAACCGGACGTCAAATAGGTGCGCAGGCATTATACCAGCAAACAAGCAGCATTTTTTACTGACCGTTTCAATGTATATTAAGTATGATAACCTAGCATACATCATCACACCTAAGTATCTTACTGATGGGATGGTCTCAGCTACATACACACTTGCATTCAGTCCCACATTTTTCTCCCTACTTGTTAAAAGAATCTACACCTTCAGTTTTCTGAATAGCCAGCTACCAACCTTTAACCTTAAGCCATTCATCGACCAAGTTAGCAGCATAACTTCCGCTATGACAGCTAGCGCAATATCATATACATAGCTAATTATTTAAAGACCTTTTGGAACAGGCAGGCGTGAGACTCCATCGTAGGCAATGATCCACAGCAACGGACCAAAGACGGAATCTTGAGGAACACCTTTGTAGCACTCCTATAAGAAAGAGCTCTATTGCACAGATAACTTTTTATTTTTTACGCTTATCAAGTATCCTGGGGTGTTGCACTAATAACACAGGCCAACAAAATTATGGAAAATCCCAGATCCTAGACTATCTATTTCCTATGCAATTTTTTGCGCTGAATCTAAATCCCGTGTCCGAATTTAATTTAAAGGCGAATAAATGCTCACTGAGGTAAAACTTGTGTCACTATTCTCGATTTATATAAGTTTTTGAAATGATGCGACCCTTTAGAAATGTCTACCAAGCTAAATAAGTGAAATTAGAAACTATTGGTTTCAGTTAGAAATATTTCGAAAATGCCCGATGCAACGATAAACTTTGTTTACTCAAAATTTTACCTAGGCGTGAAAATTTCGTTATGTTAATAAACTGAGGGTATATAAATACATATATATACAGGACACAACCGGGCCTAAATATACCACCGGGGTTTTTTCCTTGACTCGAACAACTTTGTTTTTGTTAATAAGGCTGAAAGTGGCCGCAAACAATATTTTCGCAAATAATGGTTTATTTGGACCTTTGACACCTGCACTTAGATCGATGGGATCTTTTGGTATATTGTATATACATATATACATACGTATCGATAGATATATGTTATTTAAAACAATTAAAGGAAAATCCATGCAAAAATTTCCTCTACTTATTACAAAGCTTGACTATTTTGTCTTAATTCCCTGGAAAACTTCAAATTCAAAAATTTCAGGCAATAAGAGATGGTCAATTTCATCTTCAATCGCAATTAAGTTGCATTTTAATTGCCCTTATAAGAATTATAACCCTGAACAGTAACCTAGGAAAAAAACTGGCATCATTCAGTGTAGTTGCACACCCATACATGCATACATACGCACATACGTTTATACATATGTACATACTTGTAAAGATATTTGTACAATATCGTTAGAAATTACCGCATAGTCCAATGAAAATTAATAAGATAACTTCGTGATCTATTTTAATGGCTTTGAATGCAATTAACCTCTAAATTATCCATTCCAACCGGGTAAGAAGACAACACAGCAAACTAAAAAAATTAAAAACCTAAAAAAAATACTATGTACGTTTAATACTTAGCTAACCCACCACATTATGAGAACGAGAAGAACTAAAAACAACTACGACCTCGACTTTAAAACGCTGCCCCATTCAATTGCTGATCGTGAAACGGGCTACCGCAGTTGCACCACCACCGCTGCTGTTGAACGCCCCTTTGATCGACTATTTAGAATGCAATTTTATTAGCCGCTTTCGATTCGCCACTTCTCTGCTCGCTATGTTTTAGTTCAGCTCGTTTAACGAAAATTTTTTATGCAAAAGCAACAAAAACGATATCTTTGCAGCAAATAGTGATGGACGTTGGCAAGTCTGGTTGTACCGCATTGATTTCGTTCGCTTCGCTAGTCGCTAACTGTTGGCGAATGGATGGCGGCTTTTGTTTATCCAATTTTAGTAGTCTACCACTTAAGCTGATGCCAGATAAAACTTTGTAGCTTTGCGTGACATTTATAACTTTGCCAGCAAAGCGCCAGACGCAAAAGGTATGCCACAATGAACGCCAAGAAAACAATGTTGTACCGCCGTTTTACTCATCAAAGTTGCTGTGGATTTTAATTATTTTGATTTAAAATTATCAGCAATGTAATTAAGTTTTATGTTTCTGCATGAAAACCCGAATTTGGACGAAACAAAATAAATATTAAACCGGCTGATTGTCAAAGCGCGCAAAAAGATGGGAGTTGACCATCTTTTCGCTTCGCGCTGCCGCTTCAACGATTTATGTGGCATGCTTTGTGCATTTTCATACAATTCATCTTATCTGTCAAAGCGAATCTGTCACGTAAAGCGAAGCAAAAGTTTTATGTGGCATCAGCTTTATGTACTTACATACTTCTTTCCTGTGCAAATGCTGTAGAACCATGAGATGATCCTCAATGCCAACAATTTGCTTATTTTCTGTATTCTTTTTTCATCTCTCCTTCAACTAGGTATCCCGCCGAAGTGATCTCGGTGGACACATCGGGCAAACGTTTCCAGCGCATGTGTGCGGCGCGCAAATCCACAACCGGTTGCTACACCGGCAACATGGCCGAGACGAATAATCTGAACGATGATGTTCAAACGGTGAGCCGACGTTCACGTTCGCGGCGAGTACGCGGCAAGCGACGCAACACAATCGCCGGTACCGATCAGAAGGAAATTCAAGATGCGGCAAATGGGTATGTTGTTGTCTTATCATGGTTTCGATGCTTTAGGTTTTCTTGTTTTTAAGTTTATATACATACATACATACATATGTATGTCGATGTTAGCGACATTGTCGACGTTGGTGGCTATTCTGCAGCGCTGAGGCCAGCCAGCCGGAAGATTAGGCCAATGAGCTTAATTAGTGAAAATTTTCGAAACTTAAGAAGTTGTATAAAACCCCCAAAAACCAAAGATACTTATTTATATACAGTGGCGGTCAAAAATGGATGAATGGTGTTTTGTTGTTGATATTTACAATGTATTTCAAGCGAAAATTTTTATTTTACTGAAATTTTATAAGCCTGTTAAGTGCATACCCAAAATATTTATAAAAAGTCAGGTTAAAAAGCTCGAAATTTAGTTAAAAATTTGTGGAATTTTTCTAGGCTTGGTTTACATTTTTCGATGACACCTCGATTTATTATACTTCATGATCCGACTATAAATTCCGAAAATATGACGAAAAATACTTTAGACTCAGGGTATATATGTAGATATATATGTATATAGTCATATCGATTGCAGTTTAGCCACCAACGAATATCTATAGAGGTACTAGAGAGAATAGATGAAATTTAAAAACGTATTTATTTGTATGTATACATAGTGCATATATATTCCTAAAATTAAATGTTAACGAATGCAATCAAAATTTATTTATCAATGTACAATGTGTAAAACGAACTAAATAAACATGTAAAAATAACATTATATAATAATAAAACGATTAGAAGGATAAACGATTTGAGCTAAAAATTACGGCATTTTTATTTACTTGTAAATATCACTGCATTCTCATACAAAACATATTTATAAACTCGATTGCATTTTTCCTTAATGTAAATAATAAAAAAAAAAACAAACATCAGCTTAGGCATATGTATGCATACCATAAAATTTTAATTACTATCTATTACAGATGTATGTACATACCAAATGTATGTCATAGAATATGTAAACCACTCATGCAAATTGCGTAGGTACATACATATTTACATACATACAAATATATATATAAAAACAATCTAGTTGAAATTATTGTGATTTTAATTATTTGTTATGCCATTTTATTGCCTTCTTTTTTGTTTTGTTTATTTTGAATGAAAGATTAAAATCAATGACAATTCATATTCCTATATGTAGTTGTAATTATAAACATACTGACTTTAAATTGATTACCTGGAAATTAATGTTTGATGTTGTATTAAAATTGATTGCAAAACAAAAATGCGTACATACATATTTATGTATTTTTTAGTTGGCTTCGAAGCTCACAGCATGTTTAGTGTAAATAAAAAATAGTACACACATATTTACATAGACGCATTTTTACATATGTATGTTTTTTTCCATGTTTCTTCTTATTTTTTGGTTTGTTTCTAAACGAAACTTAACACTCCACGTTAGCTGTTGCTTCTCTTTATTTCAAGTGTATAATAAATAAATTTTGTCTATGATTGAAAAATGCTTGTTGTAACCTAAATTTTGTAATAAAGATTTGTTACTAAACCAACAATGCAACCAAAAAATAACAGCTTAACAAAACTTTAATTAAAAATGCATCGCGGAAAAATCGAGCGATATTCTATATTTATGTACACATAAAAATGCATACAAAAACAGTATAGGCGACAATCAATGCATACACACGTTTATACATACGAATACCAACATCAATTTTTTTTTAAGGTTTTGCGCCTACAGCCAACGCTATATGTACTATGTCATTTTACCGCCAGCAACAACGATAACAACTGCACTGTTACATCAATTTTATCATCAAGAACTTCATATTCATTTTATAAACATACATACATAGTTATGTCCATACAGAATCGCCACACCTCACATAATATCAAATACATACATACATACGCAAATTNCATCAAGAACTTCATATTCATTTTATAAACATACATACATAGTTATGTCCGTACAGAATCGCGACACATCACATAATATCAAATACATACATACATACGCAAATTAAAAAAAAAGAAAACCTTAAATGTAACAAAATCGAGTAATGCTTCACAAAATCATAAATCAACATAAGGATTTCAGTATTACAGTGACAATCAAACCCACAAAAATCGACCAAAAAACTCTCAAAACAAGCATAAAAACACCCACATTACTGCTCATTCCAACAATATGCCAAAAGCTTCATATCGTCACTTGAAATGCGAACGAACATATCCATACATATGTATGTACATACTACACATACACTACACATATGCATTCATAGTAAGTATGGGCATATTTCGCATTCCTTCGCGGTATTGCCGCAACNCAAAATCATAAATCAACATAAGGATTTCAGTATTACAGTGACAATCAAACACACAAAAATCGCCCAAAAAACTCTCAAAAACAAGCATAAAAACACCCACATTACCTACCGCTCATTCCAACAATATGCCAAAAGCCTCATATCGTCACTTGAAATGTGAACGAACATATCCATACATATGTATGTACATACTACACATACACTACACATATGCATTCATAGTAAGTATGTGCATATTTCGCATTCCTTCGCGGTATTGCCGCAATTGCTCCTCTTCATATATGTATCTGCCCACACTGTTCCTTTCTGCCATAAGAATTGATATGTTTGGTCATCAGCCTTCTACTAATATGCATACATGCATACATACTAATGTACCTACAAACATATGTACTATACTACGTATGTATGTATGTAAGTATGCAATTGTATATACATACATAAATACATACGTACGTAAGTATGTAAATATGTATGTAGTGGATCCAATCTGCCTCCACTAAGTTATGCCGATTCACTGCCTTTATGCGTTCACTGCATTTTATTCAGCAATAATTCCCTTTGATTTGAGCTTATAGCCANTTCTGCCATAAGAATTGATATGTTTGGTCATCAGCCTTCTACTAATATGCATACATGCATACATACTAATGTACCTACAAACATATGTACTATACTACGTATGTATGTATGTAAGTATGCAATTGTATATACATACATAAATACATACGTACGTAAGTATGTAAATATGTATGTAGTGGATCCAATCTGCCTCCACTAAGTTATGCCGATTCACTGCCTTTATGCGTTCACTGCATTTTATTCAGCAATAATTCCCTTTGATTTGAGCTTATAGCCGTTGCGGATGGCATTCAATGTGCCGCTCTTAGTTTTTTGCCCATATGCTGTAATTGGAAACCATTTCGGGCGTTGAAAGCAAAAGTTACCGTCTTCTTTATATTTCAATGAAAATTTATAGGTTTTTTTTATAGCGTTGCAAAACGCCGCAGTCCAGCACGAATCTGTGTATTTTTTGCTTTTTTTAACGCCGACCTGATATGCTCGTCTCGAATATCAAAAATCATAAAATTCAAGATAATATTTTGTGCGCACTAAGTTATATGCACGGTGTCACAATTCCTTATACATACATATATTTGTATACATAGATTAGGATGGTCCAAGAGTACACAGGAAAATCAACTGTTTGGAATTTTCTTGCTGCCACCCCACATCATTATAGAAAGTGGAAAATAAGGAGACCGGTATTTTTTTATTTTGATATCGGTTAATATTTAACTGTGCCGCTNCAATCTGCCTCCACTAAGTTATGCCGATTCACTGCCTTTATGCGTTCACTGCATTTTATTCAGTAATAATTCCCTATGATTTGAGCTTATAGCCGTTGCGGATGGCATTCAATGTGCCGCTCTTAGTTTTTTGCCCATATGCTGTAATTGGAAACCATTTCGGGCGTTGAAAGCAAAAGTTACCGTCTTCTTTATATTTCAATGAAAATTTATAGGTTTTTTTAGCGTTGCAAAACGCCGCAGTCCAGCACGAATCTGTGTATTTTTTGCTTTTTTTTAACGCCGACCTGATATGCTCGTCTCGAATATCAAAAATCATAAAATTCAAGATAATATTTTGTGCGCACTAAGTTATATGCACGGTGTCACAATTCCTTATACATACATATATTTGTATACATAGATTAGGATGGTCCAAGAGTACACAGGAAAATCAACTGTTTGGAATTTTCTTGCTGCCACCCCACATCTTTATAGAAAGTGGAAAATAAGGAGACCGGTATTTTTTTATTTTGAAATCGGTTAATACTTAACTGTGCCGCCGGGGCTTTGAAGTTTTCCATATACATATGTATTTTATAAGGGGAAAATACATTTTTACGTAGACTTGCTATCGTTAAAAATATAAATTTTTTTATGGAAATAAAATATTTCCCTTAGAAATCTTAGAAGCAATAACTCTTAAACAACAATTTAACCCTTAATTTTTCCAAAAAAAAAAGTTGGGCGCTTAAACAAAAAAGGTGGGCCACCCTAATGTACATATATTTATATATATGTATACTTATGTGCATTTGTGCATATACGATATACATATACAGTGCAGTGTAAAACAAAGGGGAAGCTTAATAAAAAAAAAAACTTGGTTAGCTTCATAACTCTTACCTTGTTTGCCTTGTTGAGCACATTTTTGGTTACTAATAGAGACTCATTTGTAAAAATAAAATTAATTCTCTTTTGTAGCTGTGAAAACAATAAATAAAACGCTTTCAGATTTTAATTAGTCTAAAGAGTTTCTTAGCATGTTGCTAGCATAGGGTTGCCAGACGTCCTGGTTTTCCAGGATTTGTTCTGGATACCGATCCGAAAATTGTCGTCAACTGGTTACAGAATCTTCCCCCTGGTCCACACTTAAATTGTCATGGTTTTTTGATGAAGGTCAGTGCAGACACCCATTTAATTTTTGACAGATTTTTGCTATGAAAAATGGTTAAGCTTTCTGTTATTATTTATCGAAAATCGATAACGAATCGTTCTTTCTAACATGTTGACTAATATCTGGTGAGTTTACCTTCTTCCGTTTTAGTATACTTAGTTAAAATCTTGCTTTTTTCATCCTCAAGCAAATGCCAAAAAAAGTGCAAGT